GATGAAATCACAGCCAGAATATTAAAATATGTATGTACAAAAATAGACTAATTGACAGATTGCTGACACTAAGTGAATCTTGAGGGACTGAGGATGTGTGTGTTTGTGTATGTATGTGTGTTTGCATACCCATGTGTGGAGGAGAGGTTGCTTATGTAGTTAACAGGGTAGAGCTTTGTGCTTCAGAAGAAAAGTTGAACCATAAAATATTGGTGTCTCCACTAGAAACAAAGAAACACAAAGAAAATCAGAAATTTCTGCAGATTGCACACAGTTTTAAGAATATCTGTTATGAGCTTTCTTAGTAAACAGTATAGAAGGATTGTTGTATAAGCTCAATGATTTGAACAAGGACCAGATTCTGTTGCTCTTGTTTTCTCTCTGCTCTGGAAGGAATGTGAGATGAAAGTGGATCTCCCAAGTGCTTCTGGTTCTCAGCAACATGCTGGCAGTAGATACCTCAATGAGCCCCAGACTTTTCATGTGGCTGGAAGAAACACATGGGGGAAGGTGCTTGCATTTCATTCCCCTTTCCATTTTACTTATTTATTTATTTCCTCATTTTTAATTTTATTTTATGTTTTTAATTTTTATATTTTATTTTAAAGATAAGAGTACAATTCAGGATTAGGTATACAAGTGGTCATCGTACAGGTAAAGTTTGGGCCTCCCTTTGGTCCCCACTTTGCCTGGTTTGAGATTTGGTACCCTTATTGGTGTTATATCCCCCCCCCCACTCTGGCAGTATCCCACTACTGACCAATCCCTTTCTTATAGTATTATGGTAAATGTTCAGGGTCCACTTATGAGGGAGAACATGTTGTACTCTGTTCTTTGTTTCTGTGATAGATCACTAAGTATGATAGACTCTAAATTCACCTAGGTTGCCGTGAAGTCCATATGTTTATCCATCATCATGGTTGTGTAATATTCCATTGTGTAGATGTACCACATTTTTTTATCCAGTCCTGTTTTGACGGGCAGCACGGTTGGTCCTTTTGCTATTGTGAATGGTACTGCAATAAACATGTGTGTGCATGTATCTTTTTTGAAAGATACTTTGAGTTCTGGGTATATCTTCAGTAGGGGCATTGCTGGGTCATATGGAAGGTCAATGTCTAGTTTTTTTAGAAATTGCCACACTGTTTTCCAAAGAGGTTACACTAGTTTGTATTCCCACCAGCAGTGTAGAATCATTCCTTTTTCTCCTCATCCTTGCCAGCATCTGTTGTTGTTTGTTTTATTAATGATGGTCATTCTTACTGGGGTTAGGTGTTATTTCAATGTGCTTTTGATTTGCATTTCTCCAATGATTAGTGGGGCTGAGCACTCTTTCATGTGTCTGTTGGCTGCCTGTATATTTTCTTTTGAGAAGTGTCTACTCATGTCTTTTGCCCACTTTTTAATGGGGCTGTCTATATTTCTCCCCCTTTTGGCATTTTTGAGTGCCTTGTAGATCCTGGATGTTAAGCCTTTGTCAGATATACAGTTCGCAAATATTTTTTCCCATTCTGTGGGCTGTCTTCTCACTCTCTCGATGGTTTCTTTTAAGTTTGATGAGATCCCGCTTGTCTATCTTATCTCTTATGGCATGGGCTAAAATGCATCCACAAAACTTCTTTTTAAAAAATGTATTCTACAGCCTTCGAAAGACAAAGCTGTTAACACGATTTTATCTGCTATAGGGCCCAAATACCAAAATATATATGATTAGAGTTCACCTTAATTAAATATGTATCATAAAATGAAATCAGTTTTAACTTGAAGGATACAAAATTTGGGGAGAAACTTATTGCAATTTTTATTCTGAACCTTTTATATTCTAATGGGCTTAGATAGTGTGACCCTTGTCTTAATTACAACCTCAGACAAAATAACAACCTCAGACAAAATGATTCCCTGCAGAGAATCATTTTAAATACCCAGTCAAGTTATAAATCAAGTCAAAGTGCCATTCTGAGCTATTGCTATTTTGCATAACCTTTGCAGAAAAAAACATGTTATATAGCCGTCTTCACTCCCAAAATATGCATATTTAATGGTTTTTACTTTTTTATTAGATCTTTTTAATTCATTGGAATTTTTAGAATTCAACTCATTTTGTAGTATCCATTTTGTAATTTTGGGAAACTTAAAAATTTATCTACTTTTCTATCTATCTATAAATAGCCGCATTTCACGTTTTGTGAAATCCTTTTCTGTTTGTGAAACTCACATGAGACATATTTTATTTTGCCTCTAAGGATATAGGCAGGTTAAATTTACGGTTTACAGTGAGTCTTTAACGATGATGCATGTTTGGTAAATTTATCTTTAATATCAATATTTCTTGTAATGCTAAAAATCTAAAAGTTGCCAACTTTTGAATGACTAAATAATCACATATATGTATATACATATACACATATTTATAGCCCCACTGATTATATTCATTAAATGTACTCACAGATACCTTAATCATTTATATGGCTTGCCATAATTTTATTTTTGATGGCTTGGAGCAGTGATTTTTTCCTGGAGTGAGTATGGCCCCCAAGGGTCACCTAGAGACATTTTTTATTATTAAACTGGGTAGGAGGTATCACTGACATCTAATGAGGGGAGGCCAGGGATGCTGCAAAAATATCCTACAAAGTACAGGAGACACCCCCCACCACAAAGAATTACATGGTTCAAAATGTCAGTTGTGCTAAGATTGAGAAACCCTGGGCTTTAGATTTTGTTCCTTGTGTGCAATTTAGCCGAATTTCAAAAACTGAGGGAATATGAAAAAGATAGCCCCCATTTTGTGAATATTATAAATGCCTAACCTAGACCCAGTAAGTGTGCAGATGTCCTTGGGCCCCTCCTTGTAGGTTGCAGCTGGTTCGGAATCACCCACCACCCATTAAGACCTTGTGGAGATGTGGAGCTAGACAGAGGAGGAACTTGATCATATATCTCCAAGCATGTAGCCTAGTATGATCCAGCTTGGTCACTTGTAACCAATATATGACTTACAGTCTCACCCATGTTGAATTTGAGAACTCAAGGGGTGGCCAGAATTCCCCATGGAGGTGACATTATAAACCTTGGAAGAAATCTACCAGCTGAGTTCTTATTGAGATCTGTGTTCCAGGGGCTGTTTGGTGGTGAGTTTACTATCTCGTTTATCCCTAAGTAGTTGTAATAGATCAGTAAACAATTTAAATGAATCTCCTTAAGCCTACTTAACAGTAGTAGTGAGCTGACACCAGAGCTGGCATTTTGTGTTCCTGTAGCCATGAGTTTTTTGGGCATGTCTGTGTTTAAAATCCCAGCATGTATTGTATTCATTGAGTGGGAATCTTCTGCACTGTTATGTCTTTACCTGTGACCTCACTTCCTGCTCTGCAGAGTTCCTGGGAGCAGCTTGGACACATTATTCACGTAAAGACCAAAGTGGTTAATTTTCTTCCCTTAGCTCACAGAGATAAGATCCCAGAATCCAGGTTCTAAAAGTTAATGACGTCACCTATTATCCTGGGGAAAGCTGTAAAAGTAAGAACTACCACTAGTTAAAAAGCAGAAGGGTTTTCAGGAAAACTGAAGTATCTGAACATGTCATCACCTCTTTGTTGTTCTTGTCTGTCTCTTAATTATTCCGAAATTGGATCACTGTATGGCAGACATCCAAATGTTGTTTAGGGTAGAATTCAAAGATAGAAGCAAGCACATAAATCAGCCATTTGGTGAGATGCTATTTTTCACTTTCAAGTTACAATCCAGATTTTTAGTGTGTTTTCATTCTACTCTAGTGAACTTTTTCCAAGATGCTATATAGTACGGGGTTTCTTCTAGTGGTTTTATTGTTCCATGATAGTTCCTGCTCCAATATATTTTATTTAAAAAAAATTAGCTGTGTGATATACTCTGATTGTTTGCTTAAATAAAATGAATATCTATTGTCTAGTCCAAAATGCTCTGAATAACCCACAAAATCTTTAGAAACATATTTGCTTATTTATGAATTAAATAGCACTCCATTTAAAGACATACACCTTGCAAGACCTAATGAAATATTTTCCTTCTCTAAAGGATCATTTAACATACTATACACTGTGCACAGCATTCTTTATTGCCATATGAACAATGATTTATCTGGGGATAGTCATATCATCCATGTTGAGACAAATTGAATGATGACCCTTTAAAAGTTGACTCCAGACTCAATAGGTATGCAACTCAAATGTACTGTTCTTTTCTTAAATAGGCTGCAGGGTGAAGAGGATACACCCTAAGGCATGCAGGGGATTGCTCAAAAGTTAGGATCATTGTATCAACACTTTTAATTATGAATCAAGTCTTCAAGGGACTAGCACTGAAGCAAGTACTTGAAATGTACCACCTCATTTAGTTTTGTACAAGGAAGCTGAGGTTCAGGACGATGAAGTATGTAGCTTAAATATATATGTAATTGGGTAGAACAGGGAGGATTAGTGTCCAAAGCTTATACTCTTCCCATTAGATGATGTTCCCTTTGTGATATCTGATAAATATTTACATTTCATGAAGCCAGATTGGGCTGAATGCATGATAACATTTTCCTCATACTGGAAAAACATTCAGAGTTCCATATGTATCTCCTTTGGAAAAAGTGATAATATCCTTAAATATTTGAGAAAGTGTTTGGGGAGTACCTACCTATTCAGTCAACCAATCTTGTAAACAGTAGTGAAATTGAGAGGTGTCCTTACAATAATCTGTGTAAGCTATATACCTTTTGAGGATTTGTTTGTTCATCCAGCAAAGACCTGTCTAGTGCTTTCTAAATGTCAGGCATTGTTCCTGGTGATGGGGTATACAGTAAGAGTTAAGATGCACAATATTCTTGCTGATGCCATGGAGATGCCACCATACAGATTCACCAACGAATAAGAATTTCTTAGAAGGATGATGTGGATTGCATGGAAGAGACAGTAAATGTTGATATGGTCATTGTCCTGACTTTATTGTCTTTGTCTTCTTTCTTTCCCCATTAGGCTGCCTTGGAGTTTTCATAAGGAATCGTGGCTGGAAGTGCTGGATGGTCACCGCTTTCCTTGAGCATTGCACTTGTTGGACTCCAGTTTCAGGTTTAGGAGAGGGTTGTCCTTTCACAATGAGCTGCCAAGAAAATCTCCATGCTTCTTCTTAACCTTGGGTTCTGTTTATAACTAGTCTTAGAGTCTTTCCTGGGTCTTCTGCCTCCTGGAAAGTGCTCTCTCTGAGTGGGCGCACCTTTCCACTTCTTCTCCTTGGAATCATTTCACAGGGACAGCTCGGATGTGGTTGTGAACCATGTCGCGGCCCAAGGGACTGCTATGGCTTCCATTGTTCTTCACCCCAGTCTGCATCATGTTAAACTCCAATGTCCTTCTGTGGATAACTGCCCTCGCCATCAAGTTCACCCTCATTGACAGCCAAGCACAGTATCCAGTTGTTAACACAAATTATGGCAAAATCCGGGGCCTAAGAACACCGTTGCCCAATGAGATTTTGGGTCCAGTGGAGCAGTACTTGGGGGTCCCCTATGCCTCACCCCCAACTGGAGAAAGGCGGTTTCAGCCCCCAGAACCCCCTTCCTCATGGACTGGGGTCCGGAATGCTACTCAGTTTGCTGCTGTGTGCCCCCAGCACCTAGATGAGAGATCGCTATTGCATGACATGCTGCCCATCTGGTTTACCGCCAACTTGGATACCCTGATGACCTATGTTCAAGATCAGAATGAAGACTGCCTTTACTTAAACATCTATGTGCCCACAGAAGATGGTAAGTACTTCATTTAAGCAATACAACAACACTCAAGTGCTCAGTCATAGGAAAATTTGCTAAGAACATTTTACAATGCCACATGTATGACATTTCCTAATGTGTTTATTTTTTTCATAATTCAAATGCAGTTCTTTCAGCAACTTATCATATGTACCGCTAGTATTTACTTAACATTTACTAGATAGACAAAGCTATAATTAATGAGTTTCAATTATTTTCATATATTTTCTTAACTTTGTATAGTATTTGTAGATGAAAAGCAGTATGAGCATATAGTGTTATATATTACATTTGAATCATCTGTAAAAGAATGTACCTATAGAAAATAATAAAATTCAGTACATGATCCTGCTCCAGTTTGCAAACTGAAAGATATAAGAAATAGTTACTTCTGCCTTAATGATTTAAAATATTAGCACGTTTTTAAGATTTAAAAGAAAAAAATGATTATTTTTAATACATAAGCAAGGGGTAGTTCATAAAATGTTTGAATTTTCTTGTTTAGAATCTTTTTTGCTAACATCAATTCAGATTTGTTTTCTTTCGATATTCACTGCAATCACATGACAAAATATGGTTTAGATGATTCTAGCTACGTTCAAGAATAATGTGCTTAATTTAAAAAGTGGCCTTTTTCTGTAAAACAGAAGTGAAAATCTGCAAAAGCAATAACATTCAATATATTAACTTAATTCAATGCTAGTAAACTTTGGATAGCTTCACGTCTGCATGATTTCAATTCAAATTTCCTAGAAAGACTAAGTAGACTAAAGTTTTGCCACAATGATATAACATTTATCAGTTAGCATTTGCATATGCCATTTTTAGAAAAGGAGAAAGAAAAACAAACAATGAAATCTTACTGAAATATAAAGAGGTAATTTGTGGGAACAATAGACATATCTACTGTAGAGTGAGTTCTTTGTATAGAGTTCTTTGTGTAGAATGTGTATACTTTTTTATGGAGAATTTTTTTCTATCTTTTTTTACAACTTTAATCCCTAGAAAATGTTTTCCAGTAAGATTTAGCTGAAAATCTGAAATAAACCATAGCATTAATTCAATGATATTCAACATTGTATTGCATCTGCCATATTATTCTTTCTCCACATAAGTGCCAGAAAGATGGTCAAAGTAGTGTCATAAAAAACCAGACAGGGGCTGTGTGTCATTGAGATTACAAAGAATGGCCTAGAAAAGAAATTAAAGGACTGTACTTCATTATATTAGTTGTTTCTGGCATATTGCCCTTGTCGTTATGGTGACCGACCACACAATTATCTTGTAAAGTCTAGGTCTGAATGTGATTCAAGGAGTTAAACTGACATTTGGATGCTGTACTTCCATGTGGTGTTCTGAGCTTTCTCAATGCCTAAAAGTACCAAGTGCCTGCTTTGTGCTTGTGTGAGGAGATTGGGTAAGAGCTCTCCAAACCAATTAGAGTTCTCATTCGAACAGCCACCTGGGTCTCAGTCTTTCTCATAAAGAACTATTCAAAAAAACAAAAAGAAGGAAAGACAAACAGGACAAAAGATTAAAATTGTTTTCATAGCCGGGCTCGGTGGCTCAGCCTCTAATCCTGCACTTTGGGAGACTGAGGTGAGTGAATTGCCTGAGTCCGCGGGTTCGAGACCCGCCTGGGCAACTTGGGGAGACCTCATCTCCACAGTAAATCAAAAATTAGTCGGGCGTGGTAGCGCACACCTGTATTTCCAGCTACTTGGAAGGCTGAGGTAGAAGGATCGCCGGAGCCCAGCAGGTCGAGGCTGCGGTGGCCGGGAGCGGCCACTGCACTCCAGTCTGGGTGACAGAGTGAGACTCCAACTCAAAAACAAAAATAAATAAATTAAAAAATAAATTAAAAAAATTGTTTTCATTATACATTTGATGTGCTAGTGTCTATCAGCTAGTGATTTTATAGCACTAATCTCGAGACAGTAAATACACTTCAAGTAAAATGCCTCCTTGTAGGGGATGTTGGACCAAATGAGACCACCATGAAGATAAATCAATAGCCTCCATGATTACAGAGCCATATATGTGAAATTATGTGAATTGAGACCACAGACAAACTGGCCATTTCACTGTAGATCAGTGTTTAATTGGAACTTGGAGAATATAAAAATGTGAAAATGCTACCTAATGAAAAAGCAATCTAAACTTAATAATAAACTCAGTTTCACTTGTTTAGTTCTTTCAGCTTTTCAGAGCAATGTGCGCATATGATCTTGGCAAGAGAATTAGAAAGCTAATAGAGCCTAAAAGATAGACTCGATCTCCCCCCAAATATGTAAAAATTGGAATTTTGCTGGTAAGAGTTCAAAGTCACATGTCTGCACAAACAACAAATCACAATCGAGAGTTTTGTGAAGTTTTTTGTTTGCTTGTTTGTTTAATTCTCTCAACTTAAGAATCAATGTGGATGTTTAGATATTTGATTATTGTTTATTCATTAAATGAAGAAACTCCACATCCACAGTGATATGTTGAAATTATGGCATCATACTGATTCTCCCAAAGTCCTTCCATTAGGCCATGTCTTAATCCATATTAATGCTTTTATTTAACAGTATAGACAGCAATACTAGATATTTGAAATTCAAAATTGCACTCTGACACTCCTTTTTTTTTATTTGTCTTCCTGTCTTGATCAGTTTGGCTCAAATTTCTGTTTCTACTTTCATGGACTATGAAGATGTATTTAAAAATACAAAAAAAGTTACTTTATTTCAGATACCTTATATTTAAATATTATTCTGTAGAATACAAGTTGATTTTATAGTTTCCTTTAAAATAAATCAGGTCTTGCTGAAGGTGAGTCTGAAGTATAAATTGGCATTTTGATCTACTAAATTTAGGCATGTGTCTTTATAATTTAATCCTAACTTACAAATCTCATTATTTAAGTTTTCATGGATTATTAATTTCTCTTTGCTATCTAGATGGCAGACTAATTAATTAACTTGAATTGCATATTTAACCCTTTGATAGATGTTCAAATAAGGTCAAAATCAGTCAACCCACTCAGAAGCTGTAGTAAGACACATGGACCATTGTTAACAAGGAAGAGGAGCCAGAATCTGCATGGTGTGTGTGTGTGTGTGTGTGTGTGTGTGTGTGTGTGTGTATGTGTGTGTGTGTGTTTGTGTGTGTGAAAGAATGAGGGGAGTAGGGAACGAAAAGGGTGATTACTCTGTGTTTGTGTGTGTGTGTGTGCGTGTGTGTGTGTGTGTGTGTGTGTGAAAGAGAGAGAGAGAGAGAGAGAGAATGAGGGAGGTAGGGAAAGAAAAGGGTGATTACGTTGGGAAAGAAATGGATTGGTAGGTTGAATGAACACATATTGTAAAAGTCAAGCTAAGAAGTCCAAATTTCATAGGGAACGTGCTAAGTCCACATCAGTTCAGACATGAGGGGATGAAACTAATTCAGGATTCCTCTTGGTCATGGAATCGACTGAATACAGAAAGATGAGCTATTGAAACACTAACTTTTGAATGAGAACCTTTGATATTATATAGAAGTGAAGTTAAAAAGTAAGGAAAATATAAAACACATATTGAAGTAAATATACTGACAAGATGTCATATTCAGTACAAATAAATGAAGGAGAAAAAAATCATAGATAAGTCCAGGGTGCCTTGAAAACTGGATAGAGCCAAAGAACTCTTACATAGCTGATTTAGACCTGTACTTCCTCTCTCTATCCTATCCTTGGACATATATCTTAACATTTTGTCCTTGAGAGATTTCTAGGAGGCAACAGCCCTTCCATTCTCCATCATATGACTAAAACCCCTGGGAAATATGAATATAAATAAAAGTCATTATCATTGTTTTTATATTCTAGGAAGATAACAAATGCCATCACAATTTCTATAAAAGTGGATTTATATTTTTGCCAGTAATACAATTGAAAGGAAGATATTACATAAGTAATTACTGAATGCAAAGTGTTTCTCTCATCTTTTTCTCCCAGTGTGACATCTGACTCTTTCAATACTATGACTTAAGCAAGCATTCTATGATTATTAAGGACCTATTATAAAGAATGTCTGGAGCTTTGTGATGCAATATAAACAGAAGAGATAGAAACAATGACTCCCTGAAATTTGCACAATTAGTAAACTTAGAGGTAGGAAACCAGAGTGTCCTAGTTAGGTAGCAAAAATTGTTCTGTAAAGCCTCAGGGACAAGTTATTTTCAGGAGAACTTGAAGGAGGATCTAAATGGTTAAGCTGTGCTCTGAAGAAAACTTAAGATATGGAGGGGATTTATAAAAAAAAGATGTGAGAAATGGAAAATTTGAACACAGAAATCTATGTATGTTAACCAACTTGGTGCCAATAGTTGCCATTGTAACCACTTGGGTGTTAATTGTGGCATGGGAACAGCAGCTATGCTTTAGTATGGGCTGTTCCTGGCAGCGCCATGTTGTAAAAGCTCTTAAATCATTAGTAGTTGCTGATCCTAAAGCTTTCTAGGATTGGCAAACCACCTAGGATAAAAGGGTGGCAGAAAACCAACAAGGAAAGAAACTGGAAAGTCAACAGGTCTCTTTTTGCTCATGATTTTTTTTAGTAAAAATACTTTCACTTACAAACAACATTAGATCTAATTCAAGGTGCAGACAGTTTTACAGCATGGTTTGCATTGTTGAAAACCTCCTCAATTTCTTTTTATTACCCTTGTTTTAGTTTGTAAAACATGAAATTTAACTCTGCCTATAGAATGTTTTTTAAATCTATAATTTTTTTTAGTGCTGTGGGAGTAATGATGTTTAATTCATTCTTTTTTATAACAATATTTTTATTATGATATTGTGGGGTACAGTTAAGGGTTAGGTATACAAATATGCTTCATTCAGGCAACATTGTTGATAAGAGGTGTCTCCCCATCCCCAGACAGATGTTTACTACCATTAACTCCATCTCCCTTCCCCTCTCCCCCCCCCCCCCCCCC